ATAAGAGGCTTCCCTCATGGAATAGAAAAATGGAAATAGGCATAGAAGCTGGCAATGGTATAAGGTAAAGTTGGAAGAAGGGAAAGAAAAAAAATTAGAATGTATGACTAGCAAGCAAATAAGGAATTACAGTAAGTAATCTTGGACTGTTTAAGGCAGGGGTGTCAAACTCACCTTGTCACGGCATTGTCACGTGACATATCGTGACTTTTTTCCCCCCTTCACTAAACTGGGCGTGGGCACAGCCAGCACACGTGACGCATCTGGCCCACAGGCCATGAGCTTGACAGCCCTAGCTTAAGGCATGTAAATTACAGGGGTGTTCAAAAAAAGCAGAATAGGAATCAGCATAGGGATTGCTATGCAAGGAGAATGACACCATGAAGCCAATATCCAAAGGGAAAAGAGGAACTGAAGGCAACAGAAGAGAAACCCAAATGTTGCTAGCCATATGAGATTGCCTGCTAAATTTAACTGAAGGCCTTGATGACCTCTTTGGGGAATTTAGTAACAACTTCACATTTAGATAAGCCACACTGTCATTTTGGCAGAAAATTGTATTATTGCCATCTCTGAACTATATACTAGTTCAATCATAAAGTAATTTACTGCAAAATCAACCTCCTTTCATAGTAGATAGAGGAGGGAGAGAGAACCGTAGCTCAATTTATATAACTTAACAGACGTACACTTGCTTAATTATCAAACTTTAAAAATCAACTGTTGAGAGAAACTAGTAGTTTCTAGTCATGTTAAATATAAAGAAAAAATGCAAGAAAGAGCTTGTATGCTGTATTTTGTTCGATAAATCTTGAAAAGTCACGACAAAGCTACAAGCTGGATTCCTAAACAGCATTAGGAACACAGCAGTGACACCCAATTTTGTGACATGCCACAATATCTCTATGCATGATGTGTGGAACAGTGTATTAGTCAATTAACAGTGTGAAACATAAATAAAATGAAAATATATACATAAAGAAAGAAAAAGAAAAACAGAGAGCAATCCAAATATGAAGCTGTGAGGGATTTCAAGACTTTATGAACTCAGAGTACCAATTTTTTTTCATCATATACCTGAAGGGTAAGATAGAAGAATCAAAAATAAGTTTCCTTTCAGATGGAATGCTATAATTAGGTTGTTGGCTATGGCATTACACAAATATAATTAAGTACAGGACTACAATAATTTTTGCTATGAGAACTGTAGCTGAATGCATTATATTACTTCTCTAAAATCAAAGAATACTCATTGCAGTATTTTGAAAGTGTTGTTCCCTCAAAAATAAATGTTTGACCCAAGGGAAAAATTAATTAGATTAGTGAGGAAAATGCCAAAAGAGAAACAATTACAGAGTTTATGTCAAGCCTGAATTTGGTTAGATGGTGGATTGGTTTATATCTGGGTTATTAGGTTTGACACACTTGGGAGCTGAAAGGGGTGAGAGTTGAGGTGGATGGAGCTCCAGCCAAAACAATATAGCTGGATGAGTCAGCCGCTTTCCAATGACTGCCTGACCAGAGTAAGGAGGAGCAAAGTCACCAGGCAACTGTTTCACATCCTTTGGATAATGTGACATATTGTTTTAGAATATTGAGTAAAACCTAGTTATAGTGATGTGGAAAGCCAAGAAACTTTCAATACTGGCTTCCCACTAGTTAGTGCCAAAATTGTATATCTTAATAAACTTGTCTTTTGAGGAATTTAAATGCCTCAAAGTTCGTTTTATAATGGTTGCATTACTTGGAACCTGACAATTTATTCTAGTTCTAATCAAATCAAATCAATGCTTGTTGAACTTCCATTTAAGTTGTTAATTCCATCATTCTTCTATGAGGTTTATCATAATTCATGCAATCCTGCATCTATGCTTCATATATTCTCCTGTAACCTCAAAGGAAATTGGCACATTGCAACAATAGTGATCTGCATTCTTTCTTGGAAGAAATTATTGACTGGTTTTCTTTAATTACTAAATATAAAGTATAGTGGTGGTCTGGTTGGAAAACAATTAATTCCAGATTTATATTTAATCAATATCCCATGAAGTCTGCACTGAAAACCTTTCCTCCTGGAAATATTGAATAATTAGTATCCATATTAGTAGAAGACAGAACAACCTTCCAACCCAAGAAAAAGAATACCTCTCTCAAGTTTGTAGATCTTATTGTCTTGCCTATTTTACACAGAACTCAGGCTGATCAGCTTTCTCACAAATAAACTGTCTATTCCAGCTAATCCAGTATGGAAAAAAAATCTCCCAAGTTTGGCTTTTGTTACAGAAATACATAGAAAGGTAGCCACATTTTGTCCTCATGAACTCTGAAATGCTTTTAACTATTTAACTTACTGTCTTTTATTCACCAATCTTTTCTTTTAAATTGTGTGGTCGGTCAACAGTTGATCTAAAGCAGTAAATAAAGCTAAACTGAACTAAAAAGAAAATCAAGTCACACATTCCCAGAAATAACAAAAGTGCAATCTTCAAACTGATTTAACTGTAACATTCAGTTCATTTTTTTTTTCAAAAGCAGAAAAGTGCATGAAACTTGGTTCTAAAAAGCATTGCTTGGTGCCATTCATTGTTAAAGTTTCCATTAATTTTACTTCAGCCTTAGAAAAAGAACAGAACTGCCTCAACCAAACAGCAAATGGAAATCTCAGGAACTAATTATTCTCCACAGCCAATTATTAAGAGGCAAACTTCCAGAAGCTAAATATAAGAATGGCTTTAATCATTTCCTCAAAGTGATTTCCAAACTCTTCTCCCTGTCCAAACCTCATTATTTACAACAGGGTATAATAAAAGAAAAAAAAAAACGGCCAAAAAGAACAATAAGCTTTTTAAAAAGCCTATTGAATGAGGCAGCTGAACAACAAGGCCAACTGAAGGGCATCTATCTATCACCTGTGATGCCCTAAGAACCAAATTTCATTTATCAGGCCTCACACTTGTATAACATTTCCAAGGGAAAGTGAGAGAGAAATGACTTTGTAAACAAGGCAGGCAAAGAAGTGTTTCTCTTCTGTGAGACACCTCCCCCCCCTCCCCTCCCCTCCCCGAGATTCCCCTGAGCATTTTCAGATATTCGTGAATCTTCAGCCAACACAACAAACAGTAGAACCTTTGGTCATGAACACTTCCGTTCACGACCAAATCAGGTAACTTTCTTACCTCTGGCACGAACAAATACTCAGGTGGTGACCAAACACAGCCACGGCGATTTGCCCTTCTGCGCTGATCTCCCCTTCCATGCCCCACCATTTTTTTATGAGCGTGCGCTTCCAGTCATGACCAATTTGGGTGATGATCGAATTCATGGAATGGATTACGGTCATCACCTGAGGTTCTACTGTATGTGCACACTTTAAACCCAAGAATACACTAAGGCAGAAACTTGTCCATCCCAAGGATAAAACACTCAGACACAAACTGAGCAAGGTGGCATATGCAGTACAATGAAGTTGAGATATGCAGATCTGTACATTGGTGAAACAAAACAACTACTCCATAAATGCATAGCACAACACAGGAGAACAAACCCATCAGGATACGATTCAGCAGTCCATTTGCATTTAAACGACAAAGGCCACTCTTTTGACAGAGCTTGGCCACAGCTTGGACAGAGAAGATCACTGGTTTGAAAGAGGAGTCAAAATTGAACAGCCCTCCCTCAACAAAGGGGGGGATACGACTGGATCTCCAATCTATAATTCCTTTCAGCAGTTCCAAGAAGGCTCCACAGCCATTTGCAATACTCAGGTGACCCTGAGGACACACCTCCAAATGACACCAAAGACTCTCTAGAAGAATGCAAATGACCAGCTGTCTGCAAGGAATATAAGTCCTTCCATTCTCCACCATCCATTCATAGTTGAAGAAGCTTCTTGGATAAGAAGCAAAACGTCTTCAAAGAAAAATAAGAAAGTCCAGTTTCCTCTTGAAAAAGCACTTTTGGGACAACTATGACTCTGATGACTTAGAATCTCCATAGATTCTTTTCTGTGAGATGTAGAGAGTATGTCCAGGCGCCACAAGGCTAATTTTGATTTATCAATAAGATACTAGTAGAAATAAAATGGTTCATATCCCAACCCCCATGTTCTTCAGTGGTCTCAAATAGTCTGGGATTATCATGTCTAGCAATTGATAATCCTGGATAATTAGCCAATCTAACGTTGCTTTTAAGTGCCAAACCAGAATAAACCATTAGTGCACCAGCTTGTACAAACTGGGGGAAGTGGTGTGTGACTACCCACACCCAGCATAGTTAATGGAAAGTTAGTATGCTCTAATGGTTATGTTATATCTGGTTCCAGGCTACCACAAAAAATATATATGACAGTATTAAAGGTGACAAATTGTAAGAGAACAGCAGGCAGAATTGGGAGGCAGAGTTAAATGAGTTATCAGCCTAGAATTGTTATGTTCCCACAAACAATCCCTCTTGAATTTTGTTTACTGTGTTGCCAAGCAGCTGAAGCGCAATCATATGACTGTGGGTGAGGTTGGAAGTGACTATCAGAACTTTGATAACTGCTTTTTTCCAAATAGATCATAGTTTTGAATGGCTGCTAAGGGACTAGTTGTAAGTTGAGGATATACTATATCACATACATATGAATAAAACTTAAAATTTGCTTTCCAATTTCCAAAATAAAAAATAGTATGTTTTAAGGAACTGGTCAGGTCCTTAAAAAGATAGCTTCATAGTGATACAAAAGATGTCTATGAACAATAAAATGTTTTTTTTTAACTAAATAAAATTACTGAGAACTGGCTTGGGAACCCAAAGGTTTACATAACACGTATTTAGAAAGAAAACTGCTAAGACCCATGTTATGTAGTTCTTAACACATTTTTTTTCAAAATATAACTAGATAATAACAACAGACCCCAAACTGTATCCGTATAATTTCTAGCTGGAGTCACATTCAATTTAAAAACAAATATTAATAAATCTTTTCAGTTTTAAGAAAAAAATCTGAACTGCCATACCTTTGCTATTTCTTCCTGAGCGGCTACTAAATTCAAGTAAGATATATTGACCAGGTCAGGGCCATGCACAATTGTAAGCATTCGATTTTCCAGTCGTCCTCCTGCATTTCCTACATCCAGGTGTTCGCGTAGTTTTGGATCCTGAAAGTAAAAAGACAGCAAAATATTAAAGTTTACTTTCTGAAATTCAATTTCAAATTCAAGCTAGGAGTTTTAAGCAGCTAAACTTCCAGATTAAAACATCCCATATGGGATGCTCTCATTCTCTTTCTACATAATCATAACACCCTATATTCTAAGCTATATCTTGAGCACATATATTTCCTAGTTGTGGCATGCAGGAAGCAGTATAGCTCGCAAAGAGTCTTTAGGTTAGAGATTCTAGATTGTATAGAACAGTGTGAACATGCTTGTGGTAAAATTGGGCTCTGTTGCGCTTGTGATGTGCTACCTATAATGTGCCAAAACTAACCCTCACTGACCCTCATCACTAGCAAGAAATGGTCTTCATTTGGTTCAATGGTTTTCTCTGTCTTCGTCATATGAAAGCCTCAGTTGACAAAAGCCATGATGAGTCCGTTATTCATGGTTACAGCACGACAGATGGTGTCTTGGAATGTTAAGAGGTGAAATAACATGAATTGAAACGAAGAAAAGGATACTGCTTATTTGTGAAACCAAGACAGAGAGGAAGGGATGTAAGAACTTTGAATAAAGATGGCCTGATCTGGTAAAATGCCCTTCATAAGAACACATGTAGTGGTGAAAGTTTAGATTTAATTATGGTTGAAAAAAAAACCTGTCATGTCAGACAATTTGAACTAATGGTATCTAGACTGTTATAGAAGATATGTTTGGAAATAGTTTATTGTTGGGTGATGGCTGCATGTTACCCTCCAGTGAATGTTAATTATAAAGAATTTGCAGTGAGATTTGCTGCAGAAAATTGTGCAGTATTCTGGCTGCATATGATTTAGGAGAAAAACTTATTCCGTTATTCTGTTACTTGATGAATACACAGTGGGAATGAGGGAAGTGAATAAACAACCAAAACCAAAACCTGGACCATAAACTGCTTTCACTAATGGAGGATTTTTCTAAAATGCAATCACAACCTGCTTTCTTGCTACTTAAATCAATTATTCCCTCCTGTCCTATACTTTAGTAGTAAATCTCTGCCTAATACCAACAGTTATTCCTTCTCCAATCACTATTCCCTAAGAATCTACGAAGAATCTATGAACCTATGTATTTTTTTAAAGAAAAAAGGGATTACAAAATTTCCAGCAATTAAATTCCTTTTTATGCACGTTCCATATATCCCAAAACCCACTGACAAACCCTACTGCCTTCGTATTTGTTTTTACTGCCTTTTTGTGAACCAGCAGTTTCTTCACTGACAACAAAGAACCTCCTGGTGGTTGTTTATAAAACCACTTTCTGAATATTTATCACTCTGGGAATTTATCGTAATATCTCAAATGACAGAGAACAGGCTTAGCTTTCTTCTGTGTGACATCATTTGAAGTGGATGAAGGGGAGCGTCCTAATCCTCCTGTGTTTATTTCCTCGTCAGAAATTTATAGCATCTTCTAGTAGCACCCAGACACCACTGAAAAAATGTATCAATACTTATAATGGGCTCTGATTATCGGATAATAAAGTATATAATTCCACTTTAAGTATACTTCTGTTGATGTAAATTAAAATTGGTTTCATACCTTCTGCATCTTTATTACATTGTTGAGTAATTGTTGTAAGCAATCACCTTTCCAATATCTTTTGCACGGCTATTATCAAGCTAATTACCCATCCACATTATACCAGCACATTTGATTTCTTTTTTCCAAATGCAGTTATTTTTTGCTAATTTTCAATCAATTATTTTCAATCCCTAATCTACTATGGTAATGAATATTACAGACATAAACAATATTTGATTACCACATCCAATTTTGCGTCATTTGCACATCTGAATTATCAAGAGCTAGGTTTGAAGTTTTTACGTCCCCACTCCAGTTTAATGAGGAATTGTTGAAAAATTCTCTTTTTGAATGTGATTTGAGCTGGCTGGGTGTCTTCTTCCTTTTCATGCACTGCAGCCTACATTTTAGAAGCTGCCAAATCAGAAAAAATCACATGGTACGTGCTAAATGTTTACAGCATTTTCACAATTGTGATAAAAAAGCAAGATGAAAAAGCTTAGCAAGATTTTTTTCTTGGGAAATCTATGCTGGGTTCTGGTAATTACTGCGTTTTTTTCAAGCTGTCTTCAGAAGGATGCTTTCATTAATTTTCCCAGGGTTACACTGACTGCTCCACGGTTCACTGGATCCTCTTTTTTTCCCTCTTTTTAAAGTTGGGGAAACATTTGTCAAGTGCTGGGGAAATCAGGAGATTCAGGCAGTTAAATGAATATAAGGATTTATTGCAAGCTTAAACTCTCTATAAAAATCTGAATTACTAACTGTCAAGGGAAACGAGCAGGAATAAAAAGGCGTTCAGAGTGGGCTGAGTTTAGATTTCTTGTGGGTGTGCAGGGACTCAGGACTTGTAACATGTTTGACTCCTCCCTCAGACTCAGACTGGTCATCTCCTACATTGTCCTTTAGCATTTGATCTTTTCTGTATTCCCTCTCAAGTAATTTACAGCATCTTCTAGCATCACCCAGACTTTCCTGAGAGATCTATCAATACTTATAATGAGCTCTGATTAGCAGATAATAAAGTGGAATGATAAAGTATACTCAAATATTTCTCCAATTTAATTTATAAAGTTCATTTAGACCATAACTAAGCTGCTTGAAATTAATCTTGCCTTGGAGAGTTCCTGATGGTGGAAGCTATACACCCTTAGTGATATGGTCATCATCATTATGGAGCTCCCTTCCATGGGAAGTTTATTTAGTATCCCCAATGTACAGTTTTAGACAGCTTTTAAAACTGGTTGCCTGTAATTTGAGTTGCTGCTTTAAATCACTAGTTTAATCAATCATTAGTATTGCTATTACTTTGACGGTTGGCTTCAGAGATAGCTTGTGATCCATTTTGTGTTTAATTTGAAGCTTTATTGTTTTTAGCGTGTAAATCAGTTTGGCAGGGATGCACACACGGTTTGTAAGCAAATTAACCAGCTACTTCTCTTCCTGGCAACCGAGAGTTTGATTCCTCTAAAGCTTCATCTGAAACAACCATTTTCAATAGTAAAAGGAATACACATCGTCTCCATCAACCATATGAGCCACAACTCTAGGAGAAACCATAACTCTTGTGATTTGCAAAACTGTTTTTTTTAACACCGAGCTGCCCTCCATTTGTCTCATATAATCTTCTGAAGTTATGAAATACCCTGACCATTGGCCGAAGTAAGCCTTATTCAGTGTCAGCCATGATGATTAATAAACCAATTGCCTTGATCTGACAAGATAAGAAGCAAAGCAAAGGGCCAGTTTATTAAAAGCTCAAGCAGTGATTTATTTTACATACATTTGTTGTTACTAAGCCAGACAAAGATTTCTTTCAAATGCAATGAAATACATTTTCCTATTAACCTTGTCAAAACGTCAATACTAGTTTTTTTTTTAAAAAAAGGGGACAAAGAGAGCAAAGTAACAGCAGACTTCTCACATTTCTTCTCAATTATTTAGAAATTATTAAGTTTATGATTCTTATGATGCTTGTTTCACTTGATTCCTGATTCACTTGAGTGCTTTAGCATTTTCCGATCAGAAATTGCAGTGTCAAAAAGGGGTGAAACAATTCTTGAAGATGATCCTACAGATACCATATCATTAACAACCCACACTGAAAAATATGCACAACAAAATTATCACTCATGAGTACACTTTTCTGCATGCAGTTGTTACCCATGGGATTGGGCAGAGGCAACACATAGATATAATTGGATTCATTTGATTTGAGGGATGTAATTATGTTGAAATCTGCACAAAAGATCCAATACATGACAGAGAAGGGATGGGAGGAGAATGCCTCTGACACAATGTCACTGTCACAACTAAAGTTCCATTCTGGGAAGCACAACACCGAGAACCACTTAAACACATTTTATCATGCCAGGAAGAATGATTTGACCGTTCACTAATCTTAAAGGAAATAGAGAATAGAGAGAATACCTTTATTGTCATTGCATTCCACGAATACAAAGAAATTTGAAAGCTACTCCAGCACAGTGCCCCAAACACTACATCACAATCACACTAGAGTATTTAACAACAACAACAAACAACAACAATAATAATAACAACAATAATAACAATAATACCTAGTCTAAAACCTATCTAAAACTTTTAATAAGTTAAATAGTTTAAAAATGCCATTATATACATAGGACTAAATCACAAATGTGCTGTTTGATTCAAGACAATTATTGCCTTGGAAAAGAAACTGTTTCTCAGTCTATTAGTCCTCATTTTAAGACACCTATAACGTCTCCCTGATTGTATATGAATATGAATATGAATGACCAGGATGAGAACAGTCTGTGAAAGGTATGTGAATATCATATGATTGGCTTAAAACTCTAAATTATGCAGACTTGACAGTAGGAAGCAAAATATTACTATGTTGACTTTGATGAAGTAAGATTCAATTGCTAATCCAGCTGTACTATTTTGTGCCCACAAGAGGATATCATTTTATGCTTTGCCTCCTGAGCTTCTCTGCCACTACCTACTACTTATTCTTGGTGACTATTCAGGTTTGCTTCGTAACTTATATTTTTACAAGAACATAAAATACAGTTGGTTTTTTTTATTTTAACAAGATTATCATTTTTGTGCCCAGAATAGAAGAGGGTATTATTTTATGCTTTGCCTCCTGAGCTTCTTTGCCACTACTATTCTTGGTGACCATTCACTCTAGGTTTCGTTCATAACTTAACTTTTTACAATGGATTCTAAGAACATAAAACACAAATAGATTATTATTTTAACAAGATGCTATTTAAGGCCTTCTGAGATTTATACATTCTCAGAAGGAGGACAGCTCTTCAAGCTATAGAAAAATCTGATACACAATTGTGCATTATATGTACTCTGCCTGCAGCATCCAGAGACCGTAGAAATTATAGCTTCATGAATGAGCTGGAAATATACAGGAATATTCCTGTCTTAACTAAACAT